TGACTTACTAATAATAAGGGCCGTCCCCCACAATACAAATTTGATGAGGTTATTATTACCCAGGTTGAAGTTGCACATTAAGAATTAAACCAGAAATAACTTTAGATAAATGAATTTGAAATTCATAGAAAATTTAATGGGTCTATGACATAGATTTAGAAAATTAAAGCAAAATATTTATATAAAAGTAGGGTATTATTGTTGATGATGTGTTAAAAACATGCTTTTAAGGATTTTGAATCAGCAGTAAAAGTTGTCCTACACCACAAAAGGTTAAAGGGGTTGTATGATGATATTAGCATACGAAAATCAAAGTTTTCACCCCCTTTACGTCGAATTGCCGCTACGGGAAAACGAAAAGGGAATTTGAGTCTCAAAACTTCAGGTTTTTCTATTCACAAGGCCGGAGGGTGCAAAAAATAAAACAATCTATGACCTGTAATGTTGTAATGCATTTGTTGAGAGGCCACGCCCCCTTAACCTCAAAATGCCGCTAAAGGAAAACAAATGAATTGGCAAGTCTCAAAATTTCAAGTTTTCAGTTCACATAGATATCTATATAACGGAGACAGTGTCCAAAAAAAAAATTTAAAAATCTATGACCCTGGTGTAATGCATTTGTTGAGTTGGCATAGAATGACTCAACTCTTAAAAACTTTCCGATTTCCGATTATGTTATTGTGTAGTTTTCAACATAGTATCTAACCATGAAGGAGCTGAGTACCAAACCTGAAATTTGGTTTATAGGTAGATCTAATATATCTGATTAACTGGGGTAAATTTAAGAAAAGATTTTAACTTTCCACAAAACAATCCGTTGTTGAGAATCATAGGCATTTTTCACTTTTATAGATCTGGTCCCAACTTTGAATATATGCCATTCAATTTTAATTGATTTGATCAGCCTGCGCTTCCATGTGGCTAGAGACAACTACACTTAGATAATACATCTGTAATATGAGGGGACGCCCATTCAAATGGATGCAGGGTGACCTTGAAAATCACAAAAAAATGTGCATCGTTAAACAAAGCGGCTACTTTGAGTGATAACTTCAAAAGGGAAGGGATAACTGTTACTCTAAGGCCATATTTGTGAAATATGGCGAAAAATATGTTAAAATACCAAGTTTGACCCTGATAGCTATTACCAATCTCGAGTTATAAGCTTCCAAAGTTGAGGTAAATTGCGTTTGCACATTTTGAAGAACCACGCCAATTTTTTGAGTAGTAATATCTCGGAAACCATATATCCTATAAGGCTAATTTTTTTTTTTTTGTTGGTTTAGTATATAGTATAGTATATGGAGTGCGGTAGACATTATTCTAAGGAGACGTTACGTTTACCTCCTCCGCAAAAAAAAAAATCTTCAAATATCGTTTTACAATTAAAGTCTACTTCAGAAAATTGTATAAAGAAGACATATGTTTAAAGAAAATAAAGGTAAAGCATTTTTGGATTTATTGTGAATCATAAAACGGCACTTAACTTTCAAAATTATGATGACTACCTCTTCAAACGATGCGCCCAATGATAGTCATGTGACACCAGACGCGGGAGCTCAAGACCCTTCAAACAAGGTGAAACCGGTTTTTATGAAGGTAGATGAGGTAAATACCAAAGGTGATTCCTATGTCGAGCCACAGGAAATATATAAGGCTCTCATAAAAACAGTGAAAAATGAGCATATTACAGGAATACAACGTATCAAGAATCTATGGAGGCTATATATTGATTCACAACAAGGTAGGGTAAGCCTGATTACTACGGGAATATATATACGAGGTAGGAATATCCAGGTATATGGCAAAAACCCCTATCTACCTTATGATGCCGACGCAACCCGGATAATTGTAAAAGATCTACCACTTTCAGTAGCAGATAATGAAATTAAAATAGCTCTGCTACGTTTTAATTGCAAGATTAAAGGCCCAATCCAACGGATGAAGCTTAGAGTAGATGGACAGTTAACAAGTTGCCTAAATGGAGATCGGATAATATATGCCGAAACCCTAACTACGACTTTACCACGATTCTTAAGCATAAATAATTTCAAATCAAGAATCCTTCATAATGGTCAGGTTGACGAGAGAAGTAAATGCTCAAAGTGTTTACAGAATGGGCATAATGCAAAGACCTGCACAAACAAGCTTGTATGCCATTCTTATGGATTAGAGGGACACAGAAGAGATCAGTGCAGCGCTGAGAAGCTGTTACACGATAACTCTGGAGAAATACTCATCCAAGAAATGTGGGAACGAGTTGTAAATAAGACCGACACCGATGATGATACTGATGAAAGTTCGGAATCCAGTGAGTCGGAAAGTGAAGCAGAAAATGAAGATCATATCGAACAGACAGAGCAGAATCTCATGAAACAAAGAAAGATAACCGACTTCGTCTACTGAGCAAGTGAAAGAAAAAAAGATAACGAAAATAACAACACAAATGAAGCCGCAAAATCGGATGAAATCTTCCCCAGTCAACCAAGAAGCAAAAGAAGAAGAAAATCAAGCAAAAGTAAAAAAAAGAAAAGAAAAAAAAAACAAAAAGTAAATTATATCTTCCATAATGTGCACAAATGGTAAACAGTGGTATGAGACAATAAATACACCGTCTGTAAATATAATCCTGTGCGTTAATAATAATAATAAATTATTATTATTTATATTTATATTATATATATTATAGGTATTGAAAAAACAAGATGGATCACTAACATCAAATATCAATGAAGTACTTGAACAACAAGTTATATTTTTTAAGAAAGTTTATTCAAAACAAAAAGTTTCCAATGACGCAATTACTGAATATCTGTCAGGAATTGATTTAAAGGTGCTCTCTGAAGCAGAAAAACAAGTCTGCCAGGGTGAATTAACATTATTGGAATACGAACAGGCTATTAATCAAATGAAAAAGAATAAAGCGCCAGGCTCTGATGGTTTAACTGTAGAATTTTATCATAAGTTCTGGCCTATTATTGATGATATTGTATGTGATGCCTTAAATTATGGTTATCAAAACCAAGAATTTTCAGCAACGCAACGCAGAGGCTTAATTAATTTAATTTATAAAAAGGGTGATCACCAAGATCTAAATAATTGGAGACCAATTAATCTGCTCAATATTGATTATAAAATTGCAACATTCGTACTTACTAAAAAATTACAGACCGTTATTCATTCTATTGTGAATAACGATCAAAAAGGTTATGTTAAAGGCCGTTTCAGAGGCGACAATATACGCTTAATTGAAGATATTCTAACATACATATAAAGTAATCAATCAGAAGGAGCACTAATAAGCCTCGATTTCAGAAAGGCATTTGATACAATTAACCGAAAGTTTATGTTAAATACACTCCGTTATTTTAACTTCGGATATTCTTTTACTAGTTGGGTTACAACAATGTATAAGAAAACTGAAAGCATTTTTATAAATAATGGCTGGATATCAGAAAGTTTTAGTATGAAACAAGGCATAAGGCAAGGATGTCAGCTTTCAGCCCTCCTTTTTATCCTAGTCGCCGAAGTACTTGCAACAAAAATTAGAAAGGACATAACAATTTTTGGTTTAAATTTAGATACAAATAGAGACAATCGTACGGTCAAAATTGCACAACTTGCAGATGATACTGTTCTTTTTCTGAAAAATAAAAAGAGTATTGTAAAAAGTATAGAATTGATTGAGCACTTTGGAAAGGTTTCATGTTTACAATTAAATAAAGATAAAACTAACGCAATATCATGGTTAAATAGGAAAAAACAAAGTGAGGATACAGGTAATATATGCTGGCCATTAATTCCTTTTAAAATCCTTGGAATTTATGTTGGCCACGACAAAGAGTTTTGCTACCAAAAAAATTGGAAAGAAAAGGTTGATTCATTAGAAAACGTATTGGCTGTATGGGAGAAAAGGAATTTAACAATCTTTGGTAGGATTTACTATTGTCAAAACACTAGCCCTATCAAAACTTGTCTATAATGCAAGTATTCTTGATATACCGAAAAATATAATAAAAGATGTTGAAAAAATAATATTTAAATTCATATGGAAAAATAAAAAAGATAAAATAAAAAGAAGCACCATGTATGTAGACTATTGTCAAGGTGGGCTTAGAGTCACTGATTTTAGTGCACAAGTAACGGCTTTAAAAATAAAGTGGTTCAAACGTCTTTATGAAAATGATGATGCAAAATGGAAATACTTACCATTAAATTACTTTGATGAAATTGGACCAATAAATGTTACTTTGAATTTTACAAAGCTTCCACAAAATATAAAATTGCCACCTTTCTATAACTCGGTTGCTAAAGCAATCATAAGAGTTAATGAAAGCCAATTATGTTATCCACAAACGTACAATGCCATAATGGAACAAAGTCTATGGGGTAACAAAAACATATGTATAAAAAATGTTTCTTTATGCTACAGAAATTGGATTACTTCTGAAATGTATAAAATAAAAGATATAGTTAGAAATATGTTTATTCCTGAGCAAGAGCTTGTGAGCAAATTGAAGGTGAAACATAATTGGATTTCAGAATACGCAACAATTAAGAAGGCAGTACCAAATAAATGGAAAAGTATTATCCGCACACACAAAGTAGAAAATATTGAAAAAGCAAAAGTAAATAAAAATATAGTTTTAAGTATGAAAACACAACAAATATATACAGTGTTAGTAAACAATGTTGTTGAGCTCCCTACAAAGACCCAATTTCAATGGGAGCAAGTGTTGCACCAAGACAATATTGACTGGTATAATGTTTGGAACCGAAAAGTAAAATGTATTAAAGTAAACCGTATTAGACAGCTAAACTTTAAATTATTACATATGATTGTACCCACAAGAAAGTTATTACACAAATGGAAAATTATTGACGTCAATCTGTGCACGAATGTAATGTACTTGACGATGAAATACATTATTTTTTTTAATGTAAAGAAGCTAAAAGTATGTGGAATTTTATAAAAAACAAATTTAACCTAGATCACTTACCAGCTTTTTCGAACATTGTACTTGGTTCTGAAACCAAAAAATTAAATATGATATACAGTCTTGGAACATTTTGTTTATACAAAGCACGTACTTTAAGATATAATTGTAAATGGAACTTGGATTCCACGTCAAGACTATTTGATATTGAATACAATAAGAAATATTAAGAATGCATTGATTAGTCAGCCATCAGGACTGACCCTTTTTAATATGTACAAATGTAAATGTATACAAATATAAGTAGATAAGGTATAGGCCTACATGCACGTAAAAAATTTTCATTTAATTGTATGCATATGTGCCTTTTCATTTTTAAGCTTATGGTATACATATGAGCCTTTGCATTTTTAAGCTTGTTGTAAATATATAAAACGGATATTTTATGAAAATCAAAGAGAAAAGAAGTGGGTTTAATCCCCACTAAAGAGAAAAAAAAACATTTTTATGGAGTTTCATGAAAATCTGAGACCGTCATACAGGAATTTTTTTTTAATCTGTTTGATTTGAAATGGAATGACCCTACAACAGGGCAAAGGTCAGAATGTACCGTTTCCGGTCACTATTTGAATAATTTTTCATTAAGACGAATATAAACATGAATCTCCTGAACACTTTGCAATCAATTGTGAGTCTCTGTGACCAGTAGTTACCGAGATATGACAATACAAGGTCAAAGGTCAAAGTTCCGAAAATCGCATTTCCTGCCAATTTTTGATAAAAAGTTGTATTACAATAAATAGGAACATGCATATTGTGAACAATTTGAGACCAAAATCAAGTCTCCCTGACCAGTGGTTATCGAGATAACAAACGTCCAAATCAACAGGCGGCCATTTTGAAAATCTCCCCCAAACGGGACTTTCCCCCAATATCTGGGAGGTTATATAGGAGCTATATTTTATTTAATTTGGTCCATCTTGACAAATCCATCGAGAAAAAAACGTATCCTAAAATTAGTCACGGATCTCATGAAAATGCCTCTACTACCCTTAAAATCATGAAGAAACACAAGTTTTTGCTCCATAAACCGTATTTTCCGGTGAATAAGCCGCAAATTTAATACGCGATTAAGAAAGAATACTGATACCGCTATATTTCAGAATAAAAGCTTGTGAAATTAATTTATGCAATAAAAACATGAGTTTTCTTGAAGTTGTAATAATTATTTTACTGGAAATTAATTGAAGAAAGGCATACGTTCGTCCGTCTATCACATGCCTCCATCACATGCTGTATATGTGTATAGACGGTCAGTCCATCACATGCTGTAAATTTATGTGTCCATAATTTTAAGGTTCTCCCCCACCCGGGACTGTCCATCAGATGCTGTATTTTCTAACCATTATTTTCCCAAACATCATTTGATGAAGCTATGCTGTAAATTTGTGTGTCCATAATTTTAAGGTTCTCCCCTACCCGGAACTGTCCATCAGATGCTGTATTTTCTGACCATTATTTTCTCAAACATCATTTGATGAACTCCCGTCCGTCCCCCCGCCAATCCTTAGGTTCGTCCGTCCATCACATGCTGCCCCCGCCAACCCTTAGGTTCGTCCGTTCATCACATGCTGCATATTTATGTGTCCAGAATTTTTAACCATCATTTCTTGGAAAATAATTCCACAAATGTTGATTTTTATTGCTTGACGGTAGGCTGGTGGTAGGCCAAGAAACCTACTTCACGTAGGCCTATCGGTATAGTATATCAGAGGTGTCTAGGTCTACACCAGGTCCAACGGTGTCGCCCAAAGAGAAGCCTACATTATGTATGTGTCTAGGCTAGGCCTAGGTACACCAGGTCCGTCAATCTTAGCCGTTAAAGTATACTAAAACACTAATAGAACACACAGAACACCTTCAAATAATAGCATCAAAGATATGCCACAACTATCTCAGTTTGCTCAATGTTTACTGACAGTCGCGAAAACAACATAAAGAACTTTTCTAGGCAGCTCGCGACAAACAAAATGTCGGGAAAGTTTGACCCGATGTATGCGCAAATCAAATGACTCAAAACTGGTGGTAGGGGGTATATGTTTTATCGCCTACAGCTTACATTTTTCATCTAAAAGAAAAAACAAACATTTCTTGCACAATTGCATGTCCACCAGCAACTATCAAGCACTATGTATACCTGCCGCTATGCACCGTTTCAGAGCCTATTTGTTTACAAATATGCTGACATCTTTTGGTGTCACATCTCATACACACATTTTACATGTGAACCATTACATTAGTTCCATGTGACCTAAGGTCACAAAGGAACTAAAAATGATAATTATTAAAGTAATTTGAAATTTCAAAAATATAACTTAACTTATATCCAACAGTAGCTTACGATAGAATGTATTACTGTACAAACAAGTCAAGAATATAATCAATTAAAAGAAAACAATTTTGTTGAACTATAGAGCCAATTACCCTGGTGTAACTATTACACACTGTTGCTTTTTGTAATTTACAAATACAATACATAATAAAACACATACTAGACATACTCATTTAAAAACTACTACTACATTGGCACATTGGTGCGCATAGCACATTGCGTTATAATTCCGACGATGGAAAAAAGACAATGTTGTTTTGTTCTTTGTTACAGTACTGTAATAATATACAAGGTAGTTGCAGTCCATAGGCGTAAAGTAAATTAATCAAGATCCCACGCACTTGGGGCTACTGTATGTAACCAGAGTCATATCTATGGCTTAACTACTACATACAGGTCGAATAAGGGCCTCAGTTTGGAACATATTCTGTGACTGCCTCTGGCGGAAAACAATTGTATTTGCACATAATAATTCCTCCCAAAAACAAATAAAGTTAAGCCATCTTTATAATTGTATTCATCTCTGTTACTGTTGTAGATTAGGCCTCGCCACAAACTTTGGCCTAACATAACAACAAAACAAAAACAGCATGGTATTAACAGAGCGGCAGAGAGCGAGCAAGGGAGTGAAAGCATAGCCGTTTGCTAATGAATATTTATATAAAATAATAGCCCCACTAATCGCCTTGGCTAAGACCTAAAGGAAAAAACAATTTGCGGCCTGGCCTAGCCCTATAATATATAGTATAGGCCCTAGGGTATACTTGTATACCTAGGCCTACATAGTTACTAACCGCCTTGCATCGTGCAGGACGGTCCCACATTTCAAAGTGATTTTGGATGAAACACGCATTTTGCAAAAATACATATTTAGCACAAGACTATGTGTGATAACAAATTATCAGAAATTCAGGGGAAAATGTATTTTAAAATAGAAAAAAATGAGTTTCATTAAAAATATAAAAATGGTTATGCAGTCTTGTTTCATTAGAAAGCTTTGTTTATCTCGTTCGAGAATCAATTCACCGAGAAAATTTATCTTTTCCCACCAAAACTACAAAGCCAACCACACATTTAGTAGAATTTAGTAAGTCGCATGTGATCTTGCATGTTCATTGTCACAATCAACTGTTGATTATGTGACTGGAACCCAGGCCCCCACAGGGGTTCTGCACCTGGAACAGGGGAACATGGTGCGGCCTGACCCCATTCAACTGGTATAGTCACGCATTACAAATCTCTCAGGTTGGTAACTATGAGCCTATGGCCTAGGGCCTAGTCTAGGCCCAGACAAGACTTTTCCAATTTTTAAAATAATTTTTGTTCTTTCTAAATACTAATAATAGCCCTGCTTTGAATAAACGTCCCTCTCGACTGAAATGGTTGTGAATATCATTTTGCCCTATTATAACCTATAGGCCTACTTTCCTCGGCCAGGGCCTGGCCAGAAATACAGTCAAACCGTACCCATGCCAACCTGTACCCACAAACCGTACCCAAATTTTGGTCAACCCTTACCCTGAATTTTAGTCAACCCGTACCCATCTTTGATCAAACCGTACCCATCGTTGGTCAAACCGTACCTAAGTTTGATGAATATTATTTACTATATAGAACATTACGCAAATTATATTGTCTATTTAGATATTAATCATATCATGTATTATGAACGCCTAACTTACATAAAGAATACATATATATTATATATATATAATAAATATATAATGTATATGTATGTATATATG